TAACTATTACTCGGATCACCTTGAAAATTTAGGACAATATTCTAGAGGTGTTGTAGAATTTAATAAAACAATAAAAATGGTTTTTTGAATCCCCTAAAGCCATGTAACCTCTTAAGAGGTTACACCAGTCCTAAGTCTTCACTAAAGGTCTAACTATGATAATAAATTCTGAGAATATGAAAAGTTGAATCGAATTTTTCATACAAAATTTTGTTATATTTGACTTCTGATTGAAACTGGCGACGACCGGGTCAATCTTCGGACTTAGCTTTATTGAAAGGTGTTCGCCAGTCGATGAAGATTTTTTTTGCCAAGCACATAATGATTTTAGGACCCCCAGGTGTACTTTAATTAAAAACTAATATTTTTTTAAAGGTACGTGGTGTGTTCCAAAACCAACAATAACGAAAATTTTCTTATTTTGAAAAAAAAAAAAAAAAATGGTGTTTCATTTGTCTACATTAATCTTGTCGCGCTACCCACGGGATAATATGATTTAATGCCTGCGGTTCTTTCAATCGTCGAAACACTTGTCAAACTCGAATTTTGGCTTAGCCTATAGCTCTTTTAGCGATTTTTCCCATGATTGCCCTTTAAGGTGCTCCTTCTTTTTTTTTTGGAAATAGGAAAGAAAGCAAATGCAGTTAAGGCGAATATGGTGGCTGTGGCATTGTTGTGGTATTGTTTTTGGTCAAAATTTAAGGTTTTTTTTGTTTTTTTTTTGTGATTTTAGAATATTCCTTATTTTATTAACTTATTTCGTGTTTGAGTAGCATAAATCACTAAGTGAAGCTCTCCACTGTTTATTCACCGCGATTTACGGAAGCAATCTTATCGAAGTGTTCAAGAAATTGTGTCAAAGCATCTTTGTTCTAGCGTTTTTAGAGGCTCTTCGCATCTATTAAGGATCGTTTCAACATTTTTATCGAGCATATTTTAGGTATGAAGCTAGTTACCACCCTGAATTAGTTTTTGTTTTTTTGCAAAACGGATCACGATTGGTGGTAGTAAAAGAAGGTATGGTATTTGAAGGAAGTAAGGTCATCCCAAGCGATAGCTTCAACAAGTTGTTGGTCATGTTCCAATGCTTAGATTTTAAAAATATGAAAGATCTTTTCATTGTAAACAAAAGGGGTCAAAATAGACAGAAAGTAATGTCTTTAAAAGAATTTGAATTTCAAAAGTATAAACTTCTTCTTTATTGACGTAGACAGCGCTTACGAGGTTAGAGCTGAGTTAAAGACAGCAATGGGAGGATGGAAATGAGAAAAATTCTCTGAGCGCCATTCACTTCGGAGATACCAGAAGCGATCCTTTATACCGCTCAAGCAGCTTGCGATTTCCGGTATCGAACCAATTATCCTCTGAGTTGCCAAAAAACATAGACGATGGAAATGAAAATTTTTTATAATAATAATATAAAAAGCATAAGAAAAGAAACTAAAAAGGTGGTAGCTTATAAAGAATCTCAAAGCAATTGGAATGAAAATGAATGATGTGGGCTATAGTAATTTAGTGTTACAGAAAGAATACTTTCAAAATACTGGAAAGTGAAAGCAATTCATAGTAGATTGTAACGCATTGGAAACAAATAAATAATAATAAACAATAAATAAAAAAGACTGTGCATTTGGGACCTTAAGTTTATAACAAATTTCGTGAAAGCATATTTTTTTCTATAAGATAAAAGTATAAAATTTGATTTTTTGAATTTTTCAGATCGATTTTGAGGTTATGCCAAAAGGCATAATACAAAGGCACGATACAAAAGTTGCAGACCCTTTCATTATCTACAACATTGTCTTATAACTTTTTTCTATAAGAGTCATAATTTTGCCGGAAATCGATAAAATCGCTTTTTGGTTTTTAATTCTTAAAAATTTACCCAGGCCCCTTCCTTTTGCGAACTCTGTTAGTCCGTAAATTATTTTTTCTTTATTTTCCGGTTTTTGTCATCTTTCGTTTTATGATTATTTTTGCTTTCACAAATTAGTATATACCCTGGTATAATGCCGCAGATGAGGTCTTCTATAATTCAAGTCAAGATGAGTGATCTATCCACGATTCAACTGAAGATTATTTAGCAAATCTGTAATTATTATACTCTTTGTCATAATACACATATACTTATGTATGTATGTATATATAATATCATATATGGTATAACTATTCGACKGACATATGCGCCGACATTTGCCCTACTTTATTCTACGCCACAATTGAACTCACTAATCCACTTGTAGCCCGCGAGCGCCGTCGCTGCGGTTTTTCTGCATCGTGTACCGCGCTGCCGCATGACAAACGCGCGGTTGAACACACTGAACACACATATACAAGCGCGCGCGTCACGGTGCACGCAAATCAGCAAGCGTGCTTGAACACCCACACACAGAGCGAATGCCGGGCGCGCAGGTGCGTTCCTTGTTATTGTTGCAAAATTCGTAAATACCTCTGTGAACGCAGACTAATTAGTTGCATTGGCCGTTAGTTGCATGGCAGCCATGCGTGTTTACAAATAGATATATACCATATATATACAGTTATACAAATGAAGCAATTGTATGTGTGTGTTTGTGTTTGTGTGCGGCTTTTGACTTTGAAAAGCTGTCAGCATTACTGCGCTAATTTGCCGTTTAATGCGCCGCAGTGACTTCACACACACACACACACACACACACCGGCGTGGGTGTCTGTGTATGCGCATTTATAGATTTTAATGCTACAAAGTGTGCCGAAAGTCCAGTTCGCTGATTTAAGCTAGCCTCTGCGGTTTTTTGACAGGCAATTAATTTATTTTCAAATGTCGATTTTCCTTTGCCGCCATAATTTTAACGTTTTTGTTCGCTAATTTGGGCGCTTATGCACATATACATGTATGTATGTATGTATGTGATTTTTTAGGTGGATTAAATACTGAAAATTGGCTTTCAATAGACAATGAAAAAGAGCATTTTAAATTATTTTTTATTCCATCTATATCTGTCAGGCTGTTATAAAGATGTGAACAATCGGCTGTTCGCTGATTATCTRTAAATTCGTCTATGAATTAAATAAATTTAAAAATATATTTTATCTAGAGTCATAAMAAAGTATATTACTGTCTGTGAAGAGCTGCCATAGGTCCTGAAATATATTTTAAAATTTAAGCTGGCTTGGAAATTTACAAAATACTTTCAGACTTAACTTCTCAATTGCCTACTCGGACCGAAGTAGGACCTGTTGTCAAGAGTTAACATGCGTTGGATTTCGAGCTAGGACTGTCAACAGTGATGTGGGAGCCAAGCCGTGAGTTTGCTTGATGACAGGATATATTCTCTTCTTCATCTAGTCTGGTTGAGGCCAATGATATCAATTATATCAGCATATGCCACTTTAATATCGAAGGTTTGCAAAACCTTCTCCATTCATATCTGCACCTCGAATAATTTTCTGAAGGAGTAGAGTGAAGAAGCAGCTKGATAGGGAGTCGAATTGTCTGAAATCTTGTTTGGTATCYATCCCGTTCCTGAYGGAGCTTTTGGTATTGCCAATGTCAGTTTATACAGTCGTAAGTTTTTTACGGGGTTACCGAATTGGGAYATAGCGGCTTAAAGAGAGCTCCTCTTCGTGCTGTTAAAAGCAGCTTTAAAATCGATCCTTTATTCACGGGTCTTTTCCAAGATTTGGCGCAWGGTGAATATCTGGTCAGTTGTTGGCTTACCAGSTCTGCAGCCACATTGATAACGTTTTATCAGTTTGTTKACAGTGGCCTTTAWTMTTTCATAYAATACACTCGTTAGAACCTTATATGGGATGTTGAGKAGGYTTAAGTCACAGTTGTTCAACCAGRTTGTGGATTATCCYTTTTTGGTGGATTGGGCAGAGGATACTGAAATTCCAATTGYCCATCTMCTGGTGTTATGTTTTCACTGAGCAGGTGGGAGAACTGTTCCCTTCATAATTTCAGTATGTTCTGGGCATCAGTCATTAGATCTCCTCTGGGGATTCTACAAGAGTATGTTYCGGTCGTGATACCTACTGTTTTTTTGCCTGCAAATGTGCCTCGCTTCCCTTTTCAACTCTCGCTATTTATCCCTAATGTCAGCTTCGTTTACTATTTTGGTTCTGCGAATGTATGGCTGCCGAGCTGTTAGAACTGCAGGTTAGCAGAGTTTGGATAATTGAGAAAAATTCAATGATTGCGGCAAGGCAAAGTTTGCCAAGGGCAAATAAGACAAGTATATCTCGAAATTGCGCAGAAGCTGGTTGTTAATAAAAGCCTGCTAAGCGCGTGCAAGGTCCATAGGTCCAGTGCCAAAAAAGGCAAGAAAGCAACGGGGATTTTAATCGTTTCCATTCTGATGTGTGATAATGGTGTCCCCACTTGGTAGCTCGTTGGCTATGCAGCTCCATGGGATGTCGCTATGACCAAGCACCAAAAAAGTTTGGTAATAAAATAGCTTGATGTTGCTTGATTTTGTTTGTCTTTGACTAACTTGGAGTGCAAACAGCCACCAGAAATAACCTCTATGATGCAGTGATTCAAGTTTTTTGGGATGCCATTGAGGAGGAGAGAATTTCRGCATGACCATATTTGGACCCTTAATATACCCACATTTTTTTTTTTTAGACTAGAGCGAACTGCTCAACAATGCATCTTTTCGGGCGCCCTCCAGTGGAGAAAAAATTTTCGTCAACAAATTTGTTGGTTATGAAATAGTTATAGTTCTTACATGCCAATGATTACAGAAAATTGAAAAATATTGTTGTAGATCGACTAGAGAACTGCAAAAATGTCAAAACTGTTTGGGAAAAGTTTATTTTGAATGTGTGATTGAGAGGTTCCTTACAAGGTTTTTTTCTTCAAAAGCACCGGATTCGCTAATGATATCATTCCCAAAATTTCATTAYAAAACATTAAAGCAAATAACTGTTACGTAACTGTAATCCATTAAAGACTTCATCGACTTTAATATGTATATGTGTTTAATATATCTCTAMAATCTTCACTCTCTCCACAGAGCTTATCTACGCGATGTGATCGAAACGGCCAACATTTTCATTAAAATGATGGAGAAGTTCTGCAAGGACACCGTGCTGTTGCAGGAGAAGAAACGCACCAAAAAGGGCGGACGAAAGTCGAAAGCAAATAAAAAGCCGGAACCAAAACCGCAACTCACTGAGGTAGGTGCACTCSGAAAAAATTGGGCCGCCGGCATTGCGGGTCAACTAAAAATTAATTTACAGTTAACAGCATGGTAGTACGCACTCACATACACAAAGTGTCGAACTATTAAAGTTAATTATGTCACTGCATGAAAAAAAAGAAAAAAAAGTAAATATTTAAAAATCCTTTTGCGTGGTAACGATGAACAATTAGCCAGCAGTTTTTTGCCTCACTTCGCATTCAACTGTCCTTAAATTGCTAGTGCAAAGAGTTTACGCCGCAGAGCCGCTCGTTGCCCTCTGACATTGTATTGATGAAAAGTCGTAAGCTTTTTGCAAATTTTATAACGAGACATCAAGTTTAATTGAGTGAAAATAAAGCAAAGTCGGCAGCGAGTGTTTAACTGGTTGAACGACTGCCGAACATCATGTACACTTAGGTGCGAAAATATAGAAGTACTGATCGGTATAAATAAGAAACACCATTTGACAGAAAAATTTAAGCTTTGAGATTTTAGATTCATTTAAGAAAAATAATAAAATAGAAATCTAGCTATCATTCCCAGGGTTTTTATGAGAAATGAAGAAATGTGGGTTAGGTATTTCAGTATATTCGTATCACCTTTTCCAGCCGTCTTTCTTAGTTAAGTTTACCTTTCCTCAAACTGTCTTCACAGGACCCTTATATTATTGGATGTCCCGCGTTTAATTTTTTTATTGAAAAAAATCAAATGTTTTTTTTTTTAAGTTTTTGGAACGCAACTATGTATATCTTTGAACCAAGAGCGTCAATAGCCCTGGGACCTAAGGGTCTAATRGAATCTAATATATTAAACGAAGCTATCACACAAACACAATCATACTTTCATTTTCTGGTTTTCTGTTAAAGGCTATAGAGAAAATGAACCGTTGCTGCCAAGAAAATGATCTTCTTCTTTGCTATCGTAAGCACCACTTTTAGCCGAGTTAACAACAGTCGCTTCTTCTTTTCTCAATTCGGCGCCAATTCGAGATACCAAGTTCAGACAGGTSCTTCTCTACCTGATCTCTCTAATGGAGKGGAKGCCTKCYTCTTCCTYTGCATTTCCCGGCAGGTACTGTGTCYAGTAAGGGATACGCAGCAAGTAACGAAAGTATAAAGCTCATCAACTCGTCTGTTGTTTCTGCATGATTACAGTATGGTATCAGAACGATCTTCAGAAATAGTTTAAGCACTTGCTTCCTTTTGATACAATTTTGTTAATAACCTTAGGTCAATCTTAAGTGGGATTACCCTTCAACATCTTAGAACGCAAATCCATTGTGATACCTAGAACTTCTATATAAATAGATCATAAGACCAGCAAAGCTATTTAAGACTATAACAAACGTGTTGAGGCGACGAATGTCAATTTTGGCCATGTCTTCTGGTGCGCCGTAGGAAAGACTACCGAGATGTCTCATCCTGAGCCAACAACAACTTGTGTCCACTAAGATTTTTTGCTATRCCATATGAATGTATTGGCAGACCAAAAGCATCACAATATGCCAGTTGAGATCCAACTCGTTCCCTTTCCAATGTGGTCGTTGCTAAACCTTAGCACCTGGCAACGAAACGTGTCTGTTGACGAAGTAGCTTGATGCTATTTCTAGTGAAGGCAGACTAACTTTGAGCAYAGCGTTATGGATCTCCGCCAAAGTATTGCAGCAGTGATTGCTTATCTCTCTGTCACTTCGGCCTGAAAGATACTACAGTAGTTCTGTAGCATAAAACTAAAATTGAAAGGGAGCTCCTAACAGAAAACTTCTCCTCTTAGCTTCGACTCATCCATGAAAAAGCGCACTATGTCTCTTTCCAATAAGAAGAAAAGCTGTCAAGAGTAGCCTCTGCAATGCAGTGATACAAATTTTCAGAWATACATTTGAAGGAGAAAATATTTTCGGCATTTCACTGATCGGACCCCTTTATATGCCAAGCTTTCTTCCAGAGTGTTGAGCGCACTTCGCAGAAATGCACCTGCCGGCACCAAAAAATTCGAAAAATTATTAAYCTTAAAGGTAGACTGTATAGTGCTCGAAATATTATCGAATGGATATTTTATTGCCATTATTCCCCTCCGAAGTGTATGTCTGTTACCATCTGTATAGGGTTACCAGAAAATATCAAAAAATCAGTAAACTGCTAAGAAATAAATTTTCGAAAATTTTTTCGAACTCGAAATATTTCGATTATTTTGTTGTGGCCAAATTAAGAGAGTTTGAACAATAAATTATATTTTTTCTATATTTAGATAATTGTTAATAGATTATGTTTACATAAACTCAATTTAATTAAACTTGACAAAAAAACTTTCAATATGGCAACAATGTGTCATGAAATCAAACTTCAGAAATACGAGCTTTTTTCTGTTRTCTTAGATTTTGTAACTTTAAAGGAACATAAGGTGGCAGCACTTTCAATTTTACTAACGGTAACGTAACGGTAATCTTATTAAGTAAATTAATATTTAACAGAGTGGCGAAACGAACAAGCAAGTGACAGAAATTGCTTAGAATATCAAACGATTATAGCAGATACTCTCTGTTTTAATTAAATTTTTTTTTTTTTATTAGAAGACACCGCTGAAACACAGCGAAAATAGTGGTGAACCGAAAATGAATTTTATTACTTTTGTTATTTTTCAGACATATTACAAACAGTTGGTTGCTTACTTGTGGGCTCGATTCATTTGTAATATTTTCGAACTCCTGTTTGACTAAACTTATTAAAATAAAATCAATATTTTTTAATAGTAATCTTTTGAAAAATGTATTTTTCTGCTATCATTCTCGCATTTCTCTACAATATTTTAATTTTCACGGTTTTTACACACCCTGTATCAAACTATGTGTATTGTACACACCAACAGACAATTGTGCCTTCAATCTCTGCACTTGTTGTTGTTATTTTAAATTGCGCATCGTCAGCTTAACGCTCATTCAAATTTTAATGGAGTCGTTGCGGAGTCAAGACCTCGTTCGACATACTTTTCGACCTGTCTCTTATACACATTCGTCAGCTTAACGCTCATTCAAATTTTAATGGAGTCGTTGCGGAGTCAAGACCTCGTTCGACATACTTTTCGACTGCGTAAAATATATTTCATGCGCAGCAATGGTGTAAGCTGCACTACGCCATATATTAAACATTTATTATACACAAACACWCACAYATACACGCATGCATACCCACACACTTAAGTTTGCACYAGCACTTAAACACAAATACGCGCTTATTTATACACATTTGTATGTACATTAATTTATCACCGGCGCAATGACTCGCAATAATGGCCGCCACCATCGCCGCCATCGCCACTGCGGCGCTTGCAGCCGTTGTCGCGGTTCTGCCGCGCTGATTGATTGCCACACTGCGTCGCCGATGCGCGGATTTAAAAACTATCGTCTGTATTTTCTCATGCCGCGCCGCCACCTCCAAGCACCGCTAGCCYTCGCTTGCATGCATATTTGTCTGATTGCGCGGGCATCTGCCGCCAGGCGCGCTTCGCTGCTGGYCCAATCAGCAGAGACATTTCATTTCATTTTGCCGCTTTTCTTCGGTCATTTCGCTGCATTTCACTCCATTTATATATAAATATAAATATATATACATATGTACATAGATATGTCAGCAATATCGCGTCTGTATGCCCGCGGTCCTCGCACACGCTCACCCAGCATGACTTCCGGTGCGCCTTCACTGCGCCGCGACGTATTAACTTTGGTCTGCACTTCGTTTGCCTCTTGTCGCCTCTCGGCTGGTCGTTATTTATTTTATTGATAAATTTAAATATTAACTGTAATAATAGTTGTCCATTTAGTGCAGCGGTGCCGGCGCACACAAACATGTACGCACACACATACYTGGCTGTGTTGRCGGGWTACTAGGGGGCTAAGGGTTATTGCKCGGAATTGGTTGCAGTATGCTGAAATTTATAGTTTTTTCCGTTGAAAAATGCATCGCCGCTTGACCGGCGCTTCCGTGCTTCACTCACTCTCCGTCAATGTTTTCTCTGTCAGCRAAAGGTGCTAAAATTTTAAATAATAAAAAAATACACTTTGTAATTTTAAGCTTTTATATACAAGATGCGTTCCAAAGTAAAGAGAACTTYTTGAGTCYRGCGCCCCCTGGTGGCGCCATCTGTATGTCGACTGGTGCATTAACTTCTGCTATCTTTATCGATTGACCAGGGAGAATTGCATAACATTTCATTGATTGGAAGTGAAGTTATTGCGTTTGAAGTGTCAGTATGTTTGCGTTATCGGTGCGAAAATGAGCTTCGAACAAAGAGCCAACATTCAATTTTGTTTTAAAATTTGTAAAACTTTTATCGAAACGTTTTCATTGATGAAACAAGTTTATGGCGATGATTGCCTATACCATAGCAGAGTGCACGAGTGGTTTCAACGTTTTCAAAGTGATCGTGAGGATATAAATGACGATCAACATGTTAGCCAATCAAAATCCGTGACCACTGGAAATTCCATAGAAACTGTGCGCGAATTCATAAAAAATCAACATCTCAAACATCGATTTATCGCATTTTGACCGAACATTTGGGCTTACGAAAGGTGTGTTCACGGTTCGTTCTGCACAAATTGACTGACGACCAAAAATTGCTCAGAATCTAGCATCCGAAGGACGATTATTTGACCAACAATCACATTTTAACCACTTACCACTCTCCGTATTCACATGATATGGCACCGTGTGGCTTCTTCCTTTTAGAAAAAATGCATTTGCTCATGAAAAGAAARCGTTATGCAGACGTAGAGACCATTCAAAAGGCTTGCACCGGCATAYTGGCGGCCATACCGGCCACCAAGCTAAAACACTCGTTCGAAATGCTTTTGGACCGTGCAAAAAGCTGTATTGAAGCAGAAGGAGACTATTTTGAATAAAATAAATTGATTTTGCCGTATACATATATATTCATATATATATATACTAAAATGGATGGATGCATATTTTGAAATGTAAACTATAAAAAAGAAAATGTATATTTTTTTGCTGATTGTCGGAATATAAGTACATATTATTTATCCTATCAAACTTGTTAAATAACAGCATAAGAGTACACTGCTCATATCGAACACAGATTCTTTTGGTCGTTTCAAAAATTTAAAATCAAATGGCATTTTTGAAGTTACCATAGAAGCTTAACAATGTTCAATTATTCATAAAAATGTATACCAAAAATAATGCTCAGGCTGCTCGTAAATACTCACTAAAATCTTATATCTCGCATCGAAATTTACTGTCCACGTTGGCTGCTTTTTGTATTTCAGTTTTTGACAACCCCAGCATTGCAATTGGGCAACTCACAACTTCATCGTAAATTTTGTAATTTTTGATGTTCTGCATACTAAGAACGTTTTGACATACAAACGCTACTCGTGTTGCTTACAGTAAAATGGAATATACATCTTGGCCATAAAAAATACAATCGAGCCGCGAACATATTCTACTCATTATTTTTTTTAACTTTCGAGATGGATTATCTCAGCAACAGTCCATCGATAAAGTTAATTAATTTTTTGGTGCTGAAGCTCCTTCAAGGGCCAGTGATTATCGATTGTATGGTGAATTTAATCGAGGTCGCAGATTACTCCAAGAGGCATTTGGTGAAGGTCGCCGATGCTGTGCACAAAGTAATATTGCCGGATCGTCATGTGACCTATCGTGAGATAAWGAAGACGATAAGCATTGGTGGGAGCAGCATACATTCAATATTGCATAGACGTTTAACTTCTTACTCAATCAGAACTGGCCGAGCAAAAGCCAGAAGTCTTGGTTATAAGTGGAAGAAAGGTCGTTAAAGACGTAATGAGATCGGTTATATTATTACGGCTCCAACATGGATCCCGGCACTAGGCATTAAAGCATACGCCAGACAAGTCCCGAACAATATCAAGTGACGCTACTGAAGTAATAGCCAGTATGATGCCCATTGACATCCAGGGTGAGGAATACGAGCCGGTATATAAGTTATCAGAGCCGYCTATAGCAGACAAAAGAGAAGASRGTATCAAAAGCTTTRCTACATGGCAGCAGCGATGGCAAGCCTCACTCAAAGGATCCAGAGATGACAAGGGGATCTTAATATACACTTAACCCAAATATTATGTAGACATGCGTGCTTTAGAAGCTACCTGTACAGACTCCACCACAACATTAGTCTAAATTGTTCAACATGTTCAGAATGTTTTGAAGACGCCATAAAATCCATGAATTRTTTTTCTACAATTAGAGCCACTTTCGGCGAAACGTTCTCGCGAAAGCGCCTCAATATGGCCAAATAGAACTCCTTATTGACCGTCGGTCCCTCCGAAAYAAATTCGTGATGTACAAAACTACTAATATCGAAAATACAAGGAGTTTTTTTTTCTTCATTCCTTGCTTGCATGTCAATTTCTTAAACGCATGTGTCATCGGCAGTTATAATCCTTTCCATGAATGCGGCTTCGGAATACGCATAATAAAGCATGTCCAAAGAGACCTGTTTAAGGTATTCTTTATAAAAAAAAAAAATTCAGCTTTATCGGAACGAGTGTGACCGCGTTTCATACCAAAAAAACCTACCAAAATCCCTCGAACGGACTAGCGAGAGATATCGAGCACTATTGCCTTCCCTTTTCAAGTAGCTATCCTTCACTTTCTTAATAATTTCATCAGTTGAATAGGTCGAAGGTCGTACATACATGCTTTCAATGGTCTATCGGCTTCGTACCACTTCTATGCTTGAATTTTTGAAATCACCGTAAGCCTTTTCCCATGTTCGCAACGATTCCACACACAAAATTTTCTTAGAAATACATAATTTGAGACAAGTTCTTTGTCCGATCTTTTTATCCATTGTAAAAATCACAACGCACTACTGAGATTTACCGACTTAAGCAACTGCTTTAAACAAACTGGTTGATAGATCGCGTTCATATTTGGCATAACATACCTCTGTGATAATTCACAAGTAGTTATAACCGGTTATAAGCGACATATTTAATGCAGTAAAGAATAAAAACATAAACTAACTGTTTAAAAACATACTTTTATATTCAAAAATTGAAATCAACTTATATAATAGTAATTTTAAGCCATACAAGCAGCAGCGGATGCCAACAAAACGAAGTAAATAACAACAAACAATTCTACCAGGTTATTTGCAAATAAAAAATATGTAAATAAATTACTGTGAAATGATGCAGCGCGCAATTAAATTGAGCGTTTAATGTATTTAAGCGTTTACATAGACACATGCACACCATTTGGGGCCAATACCACCCCCAAGCTACAAGAATCATCAAATGAGATTCATTGGCCGCTGCACTTCCGTCGCCACTTCCTTCTTTCCTCGTTGGATTTTTTATTTTATTGCACAACAATGTTTTTTTTTTATTATTTTTAAATACTGATTTTAAAATTGCCAAAGTAAATTGAATGGCAAAATTAAGCTGAAATTAATAAGTGAGATCGCATTGTTGCCAGCTTTGTTGCAACATTTTCAATGCAACGCGTGTGTATGTGTGTATATGTGGCTTTGTATTGTGTATATGTGCTTTCGTATTAGTATTTTCATATGTAATAATGTGTGCTAGCCGCCTTTGTCAGTTAGTTAGCGCTTTGCTGTGAAATAATCAGCTCTGCTGCAGGCCTCGCCAAACAAATAAAAATGCTCGAATTCAAGTAAGTCGGTAAAATGCTAAAAAAAAGTGCCACAAACGGAAGCAATATGTGCAGTTGAACAAGCGGAAATTTGTATAAAATAAAAATGAAATGTTTTCGCAAAAATTTCCCAATTAAATATGCAAAACATTGTAGACAGTGGCGAACACGCTATGGGGGAAATTTCAATTTAACTTTTATGCCGGAAAATTAGGGCAACGCAGTTATGTAAAGAGAAATGCACAATGCAAATAGACTACATAACATATTCTATTTAATATGCAAATTACGGAAATAATATTACAAATWACAGTTATAGCGAATATGCACATTATGCTCAGTTCTCGGTAGAAATAAGAGCCGCCGACTTTGTTACAAATTAGCTATTAATGCCCCAAGCTTATTCCTGAAAAGTGTTTAATTTTTATCATTTTAAAAGGCTTCGACACTAGTCTGTAAATATAGATTAGTTAGCAAAGATTCAGAAGTTGATAAACTATAAAATATCAGACAGAATAGATGTTAAAATAAGTTTGTGCTCATTGCCAAGTATGATGCTCGTACTTCTCCAAAGGTATATTGAAATGAGAGAAATACATATATATATATATAGAGTTTGTCGAGAAAGTAATAGGATTGAGTCGATTTAAAAAAATGTACGGAACCAATCGTTACAATTCTTTAAAAGCTTTCAAAATAAGCTACTGCTGCGTCGATGCAGCGCTGCCAGCGCGATTTYCAAGCATTGAAGGTGTCGCAAAAGGCATTTCCGGAATGGCCTTACTGCTTACATCTCCTCTGTCGTTTCAGGCAAGGAAACAAAAAAAAAGTTCGTGGGGCCACATCTGGGCTGTAGGGCGGCTGCGGTAGCAATGGCATGCAGGCCTTGGTTAGGGAACTGTTCACAAAAAGGTGGTATGAACCGGGGCGTTGTTGTTGTGCAACTTCCAATCGGATGCGATGACTTGTCGGACCCGATTGACCCTTCGTTTGAGTTTCTTGAGGAATTCCACATAAAACTTGGCGTTGACTGTTTGTCCACTAAGAACAAATTCTTTGTGGACGAAGTCTTTGATGTCAAAAAAGACAATGAGCATCGTTTTCACTTTGAATTTGCTCATTCTTCCTTTTTGGGTCGAGGAGACCTCGGCGTGTGCCACATAGAAGATTGCCTCTTTGTCTCGGGATCATACTCATAGATCCCAAACTCGTCACCTGTGATTACGTTATTCAAACGTCTCTCAAGCATTTTCTACTTGCACCACTTAACGAAACACGTCACGCGAAAATGTTTGTCCTGACTCTCCAGGTGCTCGCAGACAACTGACCAGCCGCTCGTTCGTTAGCCCAGTATCGAATCCAGTCGGTGCGCGCACGCTCCGCAGTACAGTCACGGCGTAAGAAAATCAGTACTATTACTATCCGCACAAATCCTGAGCTTCAGCTTAATTCTTAACACCTTCACTCAATGTTTTTATTTATTTTTAGCTGCCATAAAATCTGACTGGTCAAAATCGAGTCTATGTTTGAAAAATTTTTATGTTTTGTGTATACTCATTATAACTGAAGTGTAAGCGAGTTGTATCTAATTATGTCAAAAAATGGTATTTTATGGCAGCCGTAGTAAAAAAATGCCATTTGACAAAAAATTTGAAAAAATATCAAAATGAATATACGCAACAAACATTTGCATAGCGATTGCTTGAATAGAGGATTAAAATTAATACTAATTTATCATTAAATATGCATATAAAAATTTATGTTTTAGTTAATCCGCTTTCGGCTTATTAAGTACCAATTCATATTATAATATTTAGGTAATAAATTTATAGCACTTCCGCTGCTTTCCTAGGTAAACAATAACAAATATTTCTTTTTTTTTGTTAGTTTCTGAATTTTGAATATTGAATTATAAAATTWAGTTTGTAAAAATCATATTTAAGCGTATGACGCAATTTAATACATACTTTGTTAATACTAAAGGAGGATTAGTTAATTAAAAGTTGGTTATCTGAACACATCGCTTAAACCCGCGAATACGTAAGATATTGTATTAGATTTTAAACCGATTTCTTTACCCCAGCCAAATATTGATATATTTATACTGCATGCATGTTCTAAAAAGAGACCTACTAGGTTCAAAAGAAACACAATTTCTTGAAAAAAAAAAKKGTTTTAAATATTTATKWACTTGTGGAACGCGTTTATCTGTTGGTTACAACTCACTATGTATCACCTAAAACGAATCGAGATAGATATAGGGTTACGTATATATAAATGATCAGGATGACAAGACGAGTTGAAGTTCGTGTGTTTTTTTTTTTTATCATTTCAGGAGGAGCTCTCCAATAAGTGGGCTGAAATAGCCGGCGAGATAGGYGAAACACTCACCAATGAACTCCAGTTGCCCGAAGAGGATCAACCGCTGCCATTCGATGCGACATCTGAGAAAAGCATCGACGATCARAAGTAAGTTATGAATATTTTTCTTTTTAATATTCCCATTATCAGAAATGTCAATTTAATGATTTAGGTCCGTTAAATTKCGCTAGATAAAGGTCCACCAAAGCAAAATATTTGGAAGTTCGTAAACATGTGCAATAAGTGCARAGTCATTTCTTTATTTTACGTATTCATAATCCATTCTTTTCGAATAAGAAAGTCTGGTTTGGGGGCTAAAATGCTTTAGTCTACTTCGAGAAAGCCAAATTATTACTTAAAAATAAAATAKACCAGGTTATACGAACTAAAAAGAGACGTACTAGGTTCAAAAGAAACACAATATCTTGAAAAAAAAAAATGCTTTTATATATTTATGAACTTATGGAACGCGTTTATTTATTGGTTACAACTCACTATGTATCACCTAAAGCTAATCGAAATAGATATAGGGTTACGTATATATAAATGATCAGGATGACAAGACGAGTTGAAGTTTGTGTGACTATATGTCTGCCTGTCTGTGGGTCAATCCATGCAAGCTGTAACTTGAGTAAAAATTGAGATATTAGCTTGTCAAAAAAGTTTTTTTCCTGCGGTCATGCTATATTGGGCGAAAGAAACCGGCATAGTRGCAGCYGTAACATCGGTGAAGAGCTGGGCATGAGTCATCAACAAAAATTTTATGAACAATTGAAAATTMAATAAAAATACCGCAAGACTTTTTTGACAACCTGATATCTTAATGGCACAAATATTCCTTGGCAAAATATTATGRCCGAGTTCGTAGATGGGYTTAATCGGACCATRCCCGAAATCGTATAAAAGTCCGAATTAAGATATAGAAATCTAATTTAGCACAGAGGATAGCAGTTGCAAGGGGCCCCGTGTGTGCTAAAAACTTTGAAAAAATCCAACCAAAACTGTTTACGCCCATAGGTGGCGAAAATGTGGACCCCAGTATCTAAGGTGGGCCTTTGGGCGAAAATATCTGTCAATGTTTGAGATATACAGTTGAAATTCAGATAGCATCTTTTTGTTGTAACAGTATCTACTTGTATCAAAAATGAGTTAAATCGAGTCAATACTTCCCTGAGCCCCGTATACCTAATATGTATAAAGATTTTCGAACTTCCTGCTGAGTTTATACCACATATATCGGCCAGTATGTATGTGAGTCATCTCTATGAAAATGTAAGAGCGTGTTTTATTCATAACAGTGTATCTTTGTACTTAAAATAGATATGATTTGGGCGAAAACTTGCCCAACCCTCAGCCCCTATAACTTATTTAAGGACTATCGAGCATCCGACTAACTTTACGCCATATAATTGGTGATTGTATGTGAGGTACTTTGTGAAACCCAGCGATCATTTTGTTAGTATGTGGTATTTTTACGAATTAATTTAAAGTTTTGCCAGTACCTAAAGGAACTTCCCAGTCTTTGACCTTTGCAAGCTACTAGAGTATAAAATGTACGYGTACAACCGAATTTAGCGCGTCCTTACTTGTTTTCTATTTCAATTTAATATTACTATTTTATCTATTTCAACTGTTCAAACCTTTCATTGTACTCTCTAGCATGTCAACTGGCTGAAGAAACCTGAATAAAACGCTTTTTGCATTCCATTAGCTTGCAAACATTTTTTCCAGTGAAATTTTCAAGTTTTCCTCAGAATTTAAACACACAATTTTTATCTGACTTGACTGCTCAACATTGCTAAAGTTGAAAAGCCAAATAGCTTCGGCATCTCTGAGTTTAAATATCAAGTGGAATGCCACCCACACTTCATTGCATTGCTTTTGCTTCACTCTTCTTCGAAACCTTACATTAGGGTTGGCAAAAGACAACTGCTGCAACAATGTTTGCGATGCAAGTATCGAAATATCATGCCATGAAGACKGCATGACACCTTCACAGTCTGCAGCAGCTGGGCTGGTATCATGCCATCCCGTCCCGRGGACTTGGAAGGTTTCAACGAACTGATCGTCCAGGTAAAGTGCGGTTCAACTAAAAAGTTGAGAAATGCTGCGCTAGCATCTTGCAACACTCAAAGAGATATCCCTGCAGAGGACGTTTTGCTCGGGAAGTGAGCATCAAGRAGCATCCGAAGTGTATCTTCACTTMCGGTTAATGTGTAAGAAATCTAAAACTCTTCTGTAGTTGTAAAATCCCAGACTTGTACCGCTGAGCATGTTGTTTTATCCTTGTCCAATCGAAACAACAGATATTCSCGATAATATTTCTTATTTATTTTCGAATTATTCTTAAGAACCAGCCTGTACATTATAGATATACCGATCTTGGAACTAGTTGTACTGACTGAATTTTGCTTAGATTTAAGCCTTTATTTATTTGAAAAATCGAACCCTAAAAGGAGTAGTTACGATATCAGCGCCACCTGGCGAGCTAGCTAACCAAACCTGTAGAACAATGAGCTTAAATTATTTGTTTAATAACTATTTTTCTCAACTATTTGAGACGACAGCAACAGAAGTATCAATGACGACCACTGCTTTGTGTCCTAAAAAATAATGCTTAAAATTGCTTTTTGCTAACAAGTTTTTAATACTCTTCTTTTCTAAATCTTGGTACGTACACATATTGAACTATATTAATTACTTCCAAAAATTCATAGGGTCATTTAGTATTCAGATGCAAATTAGCATTAGCTTATCTATTATATGATGGACCACACGTTGCTATCTTTCGTTGCACAAAATTGGAAAATTGAAAAGCTCTTTTAATTTCATTTGTATTGCTTGGCCAACGCCACGGCCAACAAACCACCTGGCTCTGTCGATACCAGCAAATGCGGTAGAAGCTTTTTATAGTATGTAAACACTACTAGATACATACATATATATGTATATATGCATACATATATTGTATATGGTAACATGTATATGAATACATAAAAGCAATACAAAAACCAAAAGTATACAAACTCCAAAGCCACGACCGGCTTTTATATCCCTTATGTCAGCTGTAATCCTTTTAACATCTACGAAAATCTCCATGCGCTGTTGTTGTTGTTTCCATAGTACGAGTTTTTCCATGTTCTTTGTTTTGTGTACCGTTTTGGTGCGCTTTTATTTTGCTGATTTTGCATTCTCGTATATTTTAAATTAATTTTGTGTTTCCTTTCATGTTTTCAATCTTTTTTATATCTAAATTGGTGTGCGATTCTCTATCTACTCTTTTCGTAWTTTTACAGGGAAGACTGTATGCTGCGTTTGCATCGGTTTTTGCGCGATCAGCTATTTGAAAAGGCCGTTTCCCTACTGCGAGCAGCCAGGTAAGTGCCTAAATGTTGATGTTCAAATTAAGAAAATTGTATTTGAAAACACTCTTGTATTTTATTATTACTTAAATAATTTTTTTTTTATTTGTGAATGAAGTATATCGAAATATTTGGTAAAATCACTTAGGAATCGAACATTTTTAGCAAAGTCTTTTTAATTTCTGTAGGAAGATTTTAAAATTATTTCTAAAGGATCCGCTGAACTAGCATTTTCGGTATGGATTTTCTTTGTGACAAAAAAGCACCCGGAAACTATAAATAAAACACAAAATATTTAGTCATCAATATTTATTTTGTCGCATTAAAAGTATCATCACCAGATGTAATACACTTATGCGAAACATTTTTCCAGTCCTCGAAACACTCTTCATAAGCAATTTTTGGGATGGCTTTCAGCTCCTTCAGCGAATTTTGTTTTATTTCTTYGATTGACTGAAAACGAGTTCCACGGAGCGGTAATTTCAGTTTAAGGAAAAAGAAAGAAAAAATCGGTGTTGATCGATTGTATTCAGTGTGCRTTGGCTTTAAATTCGGTCAGAATCGTGATTTAATGCGATGGTGCATTATTAAAAACTATGGATTGTACTTCTACAATTTCGTCCGTTTTCGAAACTTGTTCTCACGCAAACGCCTCACTTCATCTCCTTAGTGACCATCTGTCCCTCCGGAACAAATTCATGATGCATCAAACCACGAATATCGAGAAAAMAAAAAGAACAATGAGCATCACCTCGTGCTTTGGGTGGCTTTGGTGTAGTTTTTTTTTTGGTTTAATTAAAAATTTTTTTTTTTAATTTTTTTCCCCTCCATTCGGATAATTGTTGACATGTTTGCATGTCAAACTCATAAACGCATATCTCGACGGCAGTTATAATTCTCTCCATGAATGTGGGATCGGAATTCGCCCGATCAAATATGTCCATTTTTGTGTTTTGAAAAGAATTCAGCATTATCGGGACGAGTCTCATACCCAAAATATGCACAAAATTATTCGAACAGACTCGCGGAAGATTTCGACTTCACTTTTCATCTCACTAGCATTTGCCCGACGATTTTCAAGCACCATAGCCTTCACTTTTTAAATATTTTCGTCAGYTGAATAAGTTGAAGGTTTTCCAGAACGAGGCATGTTATCAACGATCTCTCGACCGTCTCTGATGGCTTTATACCACTCGTTGGCTCGCGATTCCTCTTCACGCAATTTGGTTAGAAATACMAGGCTTGAGACAAATTCTTTGTTCGATATTTTTATCCATCGTTAAAATCAGTTAAGCTATCTGAGCTGATCCAAGATCGATGGATCTTACTTGGACATATTCATCATTAGAGTTACCCAGAAACTCTTGAATGTGGATTACCATTCTCCATATATCAACTAAGTGTTTGGATCTTTCTAACCTTCGTTAAGGTGATTAACATTCTCAAATCGATATATTCGCCCAAGTTGTGTTTACCATTAAATCTCAGTCTGGCAAAAGCCAGGTAATAGAGGTGGAAGTGACGTCTTTCTCCATACAGCTTCGTCTGATAAAATATTTAGCCGCACAGATTTCGAACTCATTGGACAGTGTCAATGTCAGAACACCTACAATTTCGGTGAGATTRACTTTGCTAAGAGCGAGTAGCTCACAGGACCTGCTACGGTTCACTCTGCTCTAGAAGGACCTCGCAGTCGCACAAGTTTTGGTTGCSAACYWGCGCTTGGCGAGGTCACTGAAGGTCCGACTCGAACCAATTGGAAGAAATTAGAGTAAGCCTGCCCATCTTAGAAAGATWAATGGTTTTGCAGCTTCCGGCGATTCTGCTGTGAATGGACACCCGTACTTGTCTAATATGGAAGAGACTTGAAGCTACTGCTAACGAAGTCGTGCACTTCTTGTCTAGTATTGTTATTGCAGCCAGCGAGATCAAGGYCAATATAGCAGCTCGGGTTTGGAGTGAATCCACACCTCTCTGAAAGAACACTTTATAGCATTCCATCTGCTAMAAYCTTSWTGACAGCCACATCCACTTGAAAGACGGTACAGTGTACTGGTTGCTTGAAACTAGAGTTGATGGAGAGCTCGCGACAGAATATTCTTTCTTTGATTCGGCAAACCGAAAGAGTTAGCACCTTCGTGTCTATAATTGCAGTAATCCGTTTGTAGCAGTATGTTGTTTGATTGCGTCCGCCTGCTCCTTCTACGCCTTAATTGATTGCTTTAGATCTTATTTCGGATATATTTTCACTGGACTCGAACTTCGTTGCTTACTTGCTCAGAGACTCTCTACCGAGTTTTCTTGATTCAATKTATAATATACATAAGATTGCGTTATTGTGACCTCATAAGCTATATCCGTATCCTTAGGCCGTTATATCGGATCAATCCTTCTGAAGGCCGAAATGTGAGCCGCAGAGCGCGTTAGCTGCTCTAGTTTCACTCTCTTTTCAATAAGGGATTACTTGCCTGGCAGCCTATCAGTCGCTTCGGCCACTTCTGTTAAAAAGAACAATCACTCAAAGAAGGGATCTCCTTTATACYTCCGCAGACATTTACTGCGCATTAAATGCTAATTATTTTTTACTTTAAGAAAGGAACAAAAAASTGCTCTACGACTTTCCCGTACCAAGCGTGAGTGCCAGCTCCATCCGCCACTGTATTTTAAGTTTTCCATTCACTTTAAGTGCAACGCGTCGCCAATAAATCCATGCTTAAAACGTTCCGTCTACTTTTTTACCTCCATTTTGCACATTCTTTCTTCACCTTGCTACTAAATTTACACAAAGGCATTTGGCGTAATAAATTAACTTGCTTCGTGAAGAAATTCCTTGCAGCAGCTTTTGTGCAAATTTTCCTCCAGTCCTCTTGGTGTCTTCATATACAGTGCACCAAGCCGAGCCGCCACACAGCCACTCTACCCTTCATTGTGTGCTTGTGCCGCACCTCACACCCAATCTTACAGGTATTACCGTTAGTCCTGCGAAATACCTTTTTATTGGCCGTTCTTTGAGCGCAGTCCGCAACCATAAAATATGCTTACCGCATTCGGTGGCAAGGCAACCGAGCGACCAGCTGGTTGTTGGTAGTTGTTTAAATGCAGCGTTGGCGTCCAGGTTGAGTACTCCGAGATGTAGATGCTGTTATCTGGAGGTAGTTGCATGGTTGTGCTGCGCCCCAATGATTTGTCGGCGTGACCAAGGCGGCGCTGAGGCTTTGGTATATTAAATATTCGCTTGGTATGAGTATTTATTGGTAAATATTATTACGGAATTTCGAGTTTTAATGCATAAAGTTGAGTGTGCACAAAAATGTATTTCGAAATTTAGTAGATTATTAAATGTTGCCATTGTGATGACGCATAATCCCTTTTGGTTGGCGGTAATTTAAATTGCAGCCAGTGTTGCCACCACAATAAATTTGTTTTGCTAAGGTTACACATTTTATTAATATAGGTAAACACGCTCCCAGAATTGTGTGATTAATATATGCTCAAGTGAGGTTATATTTTAAAATAAATCTTGTGATACCAATTGCCTTCTTCGAATAATTACTCACTGTTTATCTATCTTCAGAGGCAAAAAACAGTGGATTTTGGATAAACGACGAACTGAAGCAGGACAAAAAACTTCAGAGAATGCACGAGGAGGTTATATAAGGTTAGGTCTTGTTAAACTGCTAGGCCAATAAGACAAGCCAGTTTTGGTCCTTTGCGATACCAGACGAAATTCAGTTCTTAGGTCTGTCCAAAAGAATTAGTGATCCTTTAGGATCCCTGCAATTGACGCCAATTTTAAGATATTCTGTAGCCCACTATCGGTAGCTCCTCCAGTGTTATATACTGTGGGGACCCCAAACGCTTACTGCATAGTTTTGCCAATGCGAAACAAGTGCACAAGAGATGTTGACACTCTTCTCGATCAATCGACGAAAAAAATACTCTACTTTCCAACCCTGAGAATATTCGATGCAGGGGAAGAGGAAAACCTCTACTCCGTTGAAAAGAGCAGGTAAAGAAGGAGCTGGCTGCCCTTGGTATATCGATTTGGTGTCAAATGGCGAAAAGAAGAGGCGACTGGCGTCTACTCCAAAAAAGAAGCAGCAGAAGAATATGTGTTGGAATGAGATCGAAACCACTGTAGTCTTGGCTTAAATTCACGACGCCAAAAGGGTATCCCCGTGTCCATTTAAATCATAATCCACTTCCATAACAGATAATAYTTAGATGGGTCCAGTTCATAACAAGTTCCCTCTGTTCTTAAGAAGAAAATATTTCTACGCCATTACTCCAAACGGCAACACTGGCAGCACTCACCATTTTGGCACTGGAAACCATATTTGGAAAGTTTTCCCTCCTTGCTGGCTCCGTGTCATGTCCCACATACATAAATTATAAGTGCATAATGTGCAGAAGGCTTAATAATATGCTCTCAGTGGTGCAATTTTCGCAATTTAATTTCCGAATTTTCTATTAAAAATTTTATGGCAGAATGTTTCGGCATTAAGCGTCGCTTTAAACTTATTTGGCTAATTCTGTGGATGAAAAACTGTGGTAAAATTTTTTTTAAAAAGCATCAAATTGACCTTGTTTCGCACATTCAACAGCCAGTTCGTCGAAAAAATATTAAATTCATTAAATACGCTCACTCACTTGAATTGATTGATTTTATGCGCGTTTTTTCGAACCAATTTTTTTTTTTTGTTTTTGGCGCCAAATATGTTATGCATTGTAACTCTTTTGSTTTCCAATTAAGCCTATTCCCACGTTATCTAAGCTAACGGTATTGTATTATSCTCGTTATGTTCCCGCGTTCGGCGAAATTGGCGAAATAATTGATTAAATTCTATTTTTGCGCGTTGGAAACATTTTCATTGCAAATTTATGAATATTTTATTTTTAATGTTTTCAATTTCTATTTCCATACTTATTTTCCACACTGTTGAATTTCAGCAATATTAATTTTCAAACGAATTTGCATTTCGATAAAGTGCGGCATTGAAGGTGTTGGATTTAAA